GGAAAAAAATTGTTTTCTTTCAAAAATTGTTTTTGTTGCCACAACATTTCAATTTAATGTGTTCATTAGGTTGTTTTAGAATTTTCATGCGTAACTATACAAAGGGTGATCAGTGCATAGCCACCTCTAATTTTCAATGAGAGGCTACAGGGAAGGTAGCTAGACAACAGCACCCACCATAAACTCTTGGGCTACTGTTATTTAACCGAGGACCGGCATGGCCAGGTGGTTAGGGTGCTCAACTCACAATCTGAGGGTCGCTGGTTCGAATCCCCGTCCCATTAAACGTGCTCACCCTTTCAGCCATGGAGGCATTACAATGTGACAGTCAATCCCACTATTCGTGGGTAAAAAAGTAGCCCAAGAGTTGGCAGTGGGTGATGATGACACTGCCAAATTAGGGGTGGCTACTGCAGATATACCTCATGTAGCTTTGTATGAAATTCAAAACAAATCAAACCTTGTTTAACTGAGTATTGTTTTTATTGATATACATTCAGATAATATTTGAAAATTTTCCCTGTAGATGTTCAGTGTACGGTTAGTTAGTTCCCTTATAAACAGGATATGAAAAGTCATACGTTTGCACTAATCCTCTAGCTTAGGCAAAGGTGACAGACCACAACAGTCACTCTAAAGGATTCTTACTTGCACTAAATCTGTCTTTAAAATATGTTACATACCATAATTGTTACTCTATAAAGGCTAATACTGGAGTGGAGGTCATACTAAAGAAATTTATTCAAGTTACCATGAGCTATGGGTTTATCTTCCTTTTGTCTATAATGATAGTTGAAGTAGTAATGTAGGATTGTGGTATATATTTCACACTAGGAACTTTCATTCCAGCTTAACATTTGAATATATATATATATCAGGATTCCTGCTCCACTCATTGCCTTATGTAGAAGTTATGTAACAGATTTTGAAACCAGCATGTGAAAGTGAGACCCTAGCACAACTTTGTATCTGTGCAAAAAGATTTTCTCTCTTCTTTTACTCTTTTAGTAGCGTCCTTTTCCTTTGTTATTGATGTTTATATTTTTTTTAAATATTTTGTTGTGTAACTTATTTGTCTAGTAATATAAAAAAATTAACTGCTATAAGTGTAGTTCTTTAAACTAAGTCAAGGGGTTAATGACAAAAATTACAATGATAGTATTATTTACAAATGAAAAGTAAATTGAAAGCAAATTAAATAAGAGTTATAATTTATTGAAAATATATTTTAGATGAAATCTAAAAACAATACACATTACATATATGATAAAACATTGTAATATATATATATATATCCTAACCAATTAGCAACAAAAACATTAGGTAGCCTTACCAATAAAAGATTTCAACTTTTTTGCAGGAAGAAATTTTTCAATTTCTTTTGAAAATAGTGGCCCTGTAAGAGTCATGTTTTGGTCATCACATGAATTGTACTCATTAATCATACCAGGAGGTAAGGAACATTCATTTTTTAAAAAAACAAAAATATATTGTATCTGTTATAAGAAAATAAGCTGTAAATAATTATGAACTGAATTGGTTTTATATCTTTCTCAACATGTGAATTTCATTCTAATTTTCTTTCTTTTTTATTCTTTGTTGCTTAAGTTATGCAAAAGAAAAATTAAGTTCCGTAACAATCAATAACACTCAGTAAAGGAAGTTTAGTGATCCAGGGGCTAGATAAGGCTGCGTAGCACGGGGATGGAATTTATATTGGATTTTAGAAAAGCTGCAAAGTTAGCATGTTCCACAACTTTACATTTGTTACTGATTTCAAATGTAATAAAAGCAGTATCTGTTGTCCTCTCAAGCTGTTAACTGTAGTTGTGATATTGGGTGACAATACAGATATACATTATAAGTATGTTCCGTTTTTTTTACTTTAAGTTACCCATATGCCAAAATATGATTCTTGCATGTGTCACCAAAGACATGTCACTTAGGTTCAAAGTCATCTGGTGATTATAGAATACATTCACATTATAAAGCTGTCTTACCCTCTTTGATAAAGTTGATCTATAGGTATTATTAAGATAGTAAGATTTTCCAATTGATGTAGTATCTTTTTTTGGTGTTTTTGTTCTCACTGTTGCCCCTCAGTGGCACAGCGTATGTCTGCGGCCTTATACTGCTGGAAACCAGGTTTCGATACCCGTGGTGGGCAGAGCACAGATTGCCCTTTGTGTAGCTTTGTGCTTAATAACAAACAACTTCTCACTGTCACATCTAAAATAAATTATTATTTTCTATAAATTATAATTTCTATGTATCTCCTCATTTCAATGTGCAAAATACTGATGTTGTTTGCCTCATTCATGGTTAAAAATTATATATATGAATATTTGTAGATTTAAGTTTGTCACAACTTCCATTATGGTAATCTAGGCTGGTGATTAGTTAAAGTATTTTGAATATTTAAGTGTAAATTTCAAAAGCTTAGCAAGATATACAGGTAATCCAAAACGAAAGTTTAAGTGAGAAATTCTTTTTGTAAATACATATTTTATTTTTTGGAACATTAATATACTTCCAGTACTTAAATAAATATTGGACTTTATATATACAAGGCCTGTGAGAAAAGTATCCGACCTTT